TATACCACACATATTTTCTCTTAGTCTGTAGATCAGAAGTGTGACACAGATCTCACTGGGTTGAAACTGTCCATAAGCTGCTGACCCTCTCTTAGGGAGAATCTGTTACCTTCCCTTTTCTAGCTTCTAGAGGCCACTCACATTCCTTGGCCCATGCATGCCCCCTCCCTCCATCTTCAAACCCAGAGATATTAACACTAGGTTGATTCCTCTTCACATAGCATCATTCTGACCTCTTCTTCTGCCTCTCTCTTCCAGATTTTAGGCCTGCTCCAATAATCTAGGATAATCTCCCTATTTTAAGGTCAGCTGATTGGGAATCTCAATTCTATTAGCAACCTTGATTGTTTTTTGCCAACATAACTTTGAAAATTCACAAGTCTTAGGGATTAAAATGTAGATGTTTCTGAGGGACCATCAGTTTGTTGATCACAATCACATCCTGAACTCCAAACTTAGATCAGCATACTGCCTCTGCCGCTCTTAGAATCTGTCCATAGTATTATAACTTTGAAAGCTTCAGTTTCCTTATTTACAAAGTGGGGATAATCATCCTGACTTTTCAGATTTGCTGTTAGGAAATAATGTGGCCATGTACATTAAAATTTTATATAGAAATAAACAAGAAGTAGTCAATAACCAGAGGCATCACACTACCTGATTTCAAACTATACTACAAGGCTACAGCAATCAAAACAGCATGATACTTCTACAAAAACAGAAATATAGACCAATGGAACAGAACAGAGGCCCTGGAGGCAATGCTACACATTACAACCATCTGATCTTTGACAAACTTGACAAAAACAAGCAATGGTGAAAGGATTCCCTGTTGAATAAATGGTATTGGGAAAACTGGCTAGCCATGTGCAGAAAGCAGAAACTGGACCCCTTCCTGACACCTTACATTAAAATTAACTGCAGATGGATTAGTGACTTAAACATAAGACCTAACACCATAAAAACCCTAGAAGAAAACCTAGGCAAAACTATTCAGGGCATAGGCATAGGCAAGGGCTTCATGACTAAAACATCAAAAGCACTGGTAACAAAAGCCAAAATAGACAAATGGGACCTAATTAAACTGGAGAGCTTCTGCACAGCAAAAGAAACAATCATTAGAGCGAACTGGCAACCAACAAAATGGGAAAAAAATTTTGCCAGCTACCCATCTGACAAAGGGCCAATATCCAGACTCTACAAAGAACTAAAACAGATTTACAAGAAAACAAACAAACAAACCCATCCAAAAATGGGTGAAGAATATGAACAGACACTTTACAAAAGAAGACATATATGAGGCCAACAAACAAATGAAAAAATGCTCATCATCACTTATTATTAGAGAAATGCAAATCAAAACCACATTAAGATATCACCTCATGCCTGTTAGAATGGCAATCATTAAAAAAATCTGGAGACAACAGATGCTGGAGAGGATGTGGAGAAATAGGAACACTTTTACACTGTTGGTAGGAGTGTAAACTACTTCAACCATTGTGGAAGACAGTGTGGTGCTTCCTCAATGACCTAGAAATAGAAATTCCACTTGACCCAGCAATCCCATTACTGGGTATATACCCAAAGGATTATAAATCATTCTGTTATAAAGACACATGCACATGTATGTTCATAGTGGCACTGTTTACAATAGCAAAGACCTGGAACCAACCCAAATGTCCATCGACAATAGACTGGACAAGGAAAATATGGCACATATATACCATGGAATATGCAGCCATAAAAAAATGATGAGTTCCTGTCCTTTGTAGGGACATGAATGAATCCGGAAACCAGCATTCTCAGCAAACTGACACAAGAACAGAGAATCAAACACCGCATGTTCTCACTCATAGGCAGCTGTTGAACAATGATAATGCATGGACACAGGGAGGGGAGCATCACATACTGGGCCCTGTTGTGGGGGGCCAAGAGAGGGAAAGCGGGGAGAGGGGAGGTCAGGGAGGGATAACATCGGAAGAAATGCCAGATGTAGGTGACAGGGGGATGGAGGCAGCAAACAGCATTGCCATGTGTGTACCTACGTTACAATCTTGCATGATCTGCACATGTACCCCAGAACCTAAAGTACAATTAAAAAAAAAAAAGAAATAGTCAATAAACGTTTTTTTTTTATTTCTGACAAATACAACTAGAGGAATGAGACAAATCACTGAAAATGTACATATTTTTATCTATTCCTCCTAAATTTTCTTAACTTGTTCATTGACTATAGTTAGTTTAAAGGTAATTGGGAAATGTTTAAATATAATTTGAAGCGACATTAAGATCATTGTTATATTTTAGTACTGTCACCATAATTAATAATCACAAAAGACAATATCTCTACTACTGCTGCAGAGCTTGACATAGCACGGATGTGCCCAAAAAATGCTAATCACTGTCCAGACAGACTCTGTGGACATTTTAAGAATGCCAGCACCACCCTGGCATCTGCCACGGAAGCAGATGCTATTTGCATCTGTTTTTCATGATAATCACCAATGATGGCAGGAAAAAAATCTACATTTTAAGACAATCTGTTCAAATATTCAAGAACATATTTGGCTTGTCAAGGCACCTTTTAAAAGTTGTTGTAAGATATGAGATTTATAGGAAATATAAATTATTCAGCTACCAAGACATTTTTTTTTCTGAGTTTACTTGTAAATAAATATGTTGAGTAGAGTATGGTTTGTAATCAATTGCTGTAGTTGTTTTCCAACACAGTTTTTAAGAGAGAGAAAGGACATTATTTTTCTTTTATTTTAAAACTTACATTAGAAATATTGACTGAATTTGCCATGTACTATGAATTTGAAACGTACTGTTTCCATAAGTTTATATATGTGCGTGTATATATCTCTCTCTCTCTTAGAAAAGGAGTTTTATTTTTAAAACAAAAGCAGATTATAATAAGTAGAAATTCAATACTATGTACTGTCTTGTAAATTTAATCCATCAATTAATATTAATATGTATTTTATTATATGTATTACACCATTTTCACTATTTTAGAAGATAAAATATATTAATTATCTTGAAGAAGAGAAACAATTGTTAGTCTACACAGTGCTACAAATCTTGTTTCTTTGACTTCTCAAGCCATGAAAAAAAAACAAAAAAAAATCAAAAACAAAGGCAAGGACGTGCTTAGGTTACATAAGGCAGCTTCTCTGATCACAAACACAGAGTAGTAAGTTGAACCTTGTGGGCATAGTCAAGAGAAGTTCCTTTCCTTGGAGCTTTTGGAAACGTGATCATGAGCCCTGGATTGTCACAGTCGTTGCTAACTGCTTGCTAGTTAGTACCCACCCTGCTGTGACCCTAAGGTCGCCCGTTACCCGGGAAGGGGTGGGGTTGGGGAGGAGGAGGGGGGAAAAGAGCAAGCAGGAGCCTCGGAGCGGGTTGAGATGGAGAGGATCGGCCTTCTAGGAAAGAAATGGGAGCGGGGATAACCAAGAACAGCAAGTGTGCCGACCTCCTCCTTCCACTGGCGCTCTTGGGTAAAGCGCGGGGCTGGCAGTGGTGCGCCAGCTGCAGTTCCCGGCGCGCCCGGAAGCGCGGGGGGGAGCCCTAGGCCAGCGTTTGGCCTCCCTCCTGCCGGTGCTCCCGGCTCCCGGTCTGGTGGAAGTCGCGGGGTCGCCCAAGCGCCCTTTCACTCCGTTCCATTGGGGAAGCCGCCATGACTGAGCGGAAAACAGTTGTTTCAGGACGCCGAGACCTGTGCGCTCCGGCTGCGCGCTTTTCTACCTAGGACTTGGTGACGAGGACCGAGGGCCGCCGAGCTGGGGGAGGGTGCGCAGAGGCTGGGGCGCCGGGGCTACACTCCGTTGCTGCTCCGGGCTTCGTCCAGTCCCGGGCCAATCGAAAGGGACGGCAGAGGGCAAGGTCCTTTCCGCAACGTTTTGAGTGGGAACCGATTGCACGGGGAAAGGGTAACAGTTCTTGGTAGAAAATCTCCCACGGACGATTCGGCCTTTGTCAGTGTCGTTCCTGCTTTGGGAAAGCGCGTCAATGGGTCAGTGCGGATCCAGATCTGAGTGTTGTTCCTAGAGACTGGATATGTGTGTGGGCGCGGGGATGACCCTGCGGGGTAGGGCGGGGTCAACTCTGCCAAGGAGTACCCTCTCTGCCCAACGTGTGAAGGGCGCCTTGCGGGGCTGGCCATGAAGCCTGAGAGAATCTGATAATAATCCCGAATAACCAATCACTCACCGGCCTCCTGAGCCCACCGGCACTCCAGGCTCGGGGCTAGAAGAGAGTTCTCGCCGCGCGCGGTCCGCGGATGCGCTGGTTGCGTCCGCGTTTGCGTCTCAGTTTCCGTCCCCGCTCGCTCCGCACCCATACTGAGTCAGGAATATGACCGAAGATTTACGACTATGCTCCCTTGAGCTGGCCGCGAGTGATGTTCCCTGAAGTCGTGCCCTCCCAGAAAGTCTCTAAAATCAAGAACATTGGAAGTGGGGTTTTGGGTGAGGGGTTGTGGTGGCGGAATACAGAAGTCCTGGCTTGCAGGGCCTTCTCTGCTCTCTATACTCTGAGGAAGCCCTCCCCTTCGACCCGAAAGCATTTTGGGAGAGTGCTAGGCTTGGAAGACAGGAGACCTAGTGAGAGCAAGGCGGGTAAGCGTCAACCAAAACAATTAACTGTACCCCGGTTTCTTAGAAACGTTCACCGTAAACTTATTTCTATAAAGAAAAACTAAAGTCAATTTATATTATTGACGCTTTTCCATAGCACTTCAATGTTTTGCTCTCCATCCCCACTCCCGACTTCTTTTTGATCTTTCTGGCTGTATTCTACGTAGAGCAAAAATGCTGTCACTGTTGCCAGTTTCCAGTTCCAACGCCTTTTGGCAGTACTTAGTCAAGTTTGGTTAGACCCTCCCAGTTCAGGACCAACATCAGAGGAAGCTCTAGAAGTAGCGCATTAGAGTCTCTAGGTGAATGGCCCTAGCTAGGAAGGAAGGGAGGTTACAGAGGAGAGCCTACGGATACTCAGAGATACAGTAAATTCTCTGAGTGACCAACCTTCCCAACACACAAACGCGGCCGCGCGCGCGCGCGCGCGCACACCCACACACACAAACACACACACCCACACACACACAGTGAAAGAGACTCCTAGACCGCCGCTAGAGGGAGAGCCGCTAGGCGGTTGGGCAAAATGGAATAAATACAGATCCTGCTCTCTGGCGGAATTTGTGTTCATGTCACTAAAAATACTATTTTTATTTGACAAATCATAAGAGTTATATAGTTAAGGGATACATTCTGATGTTTTGATATTTGTATACAGTGTGGAATTATTAAACCGATGTCACTTTTGAAAGGTTTCAAGTGACTAAACAAGGAGACCCTACCCTTGGTTAGGTAAAACATATAGCCGCAACTGCCTTTCACAACCACAGGTTTCTTTGGTCTTGAGGTTCTTCATTCTGTTACCCCTTCTTCTCTCCTTTGTACACAGCAAGTCTTAAGGTGCCCAGCACAGAACCTGAGCTCCTAGTAACTCAGACAATATTTAATGAGTACATATAACATACACATAATACCCAGACATATACCCTCAAAGGAATTGTAGGAAAGGACCACAGTAATGTGAATTCTGTTTGTTTTTTCCAGCTCTGTTTGATCGTAGCTTTAATAGCTGATATACCATGCAAAAAAAATGTAAAAATAAGTTGGAAACGTAGTTGGTCACTTTACACAGAAAAAAAAAAAAACCCACTTTCCGTTATATTTCTGAGTTTTAGAATTTAATTCTTCACTGCCAATCTGGAAATAGTTGCAGAATCCTCAGAAAATTCCACTTATAGAAAGGTATTACTCTAAGAAATACAACTCTGTGCAAAGACTCTTAAAGTTACTAATGGGCGTCTAAGTATGCAGATTGCCTTAGAATACAGGGTAATGGTCATTGAAGATATTCTAATACTTTTATCCATTGTGACTCTGAACTAGGAGGTAGACAGTGGGGCTTAAGGAAAGATTATTATCTTGAATGGAATTTCAAGACGGGGAAAGTCTAATCCCTTTCTTGTAAAAGACATCTGGGTGGATTTCAACTAACTTTGAGAAGCGAATCAGAATAATGACTCAAACCTGAGCTGAAGAGAAAAGTGTTTTTGTTTTAAATAAAAAGCAGGTGTTGAACTCCTTAGTAACCCAATATTGGGTGCGCGCGCGCAGAGTGGCCAGACCCCTCTCCACGCAGCTCTGGCTCTGTTCAGTTCGGCAAGTGCACTCACGGCAGAACTGCCACGGGTATAACGTCTTGACGATGGGCTCCAGGGTTTGACACTCCTCAGCGCCACCAGTTCTGTTTTCTCCCCAAGTGAGCCACTCTCTACCTCTGGAGCAGGAGATCGTCCTATGCGCGCTACAATCGTGGGGCGGGGAGATCTGGCGCTCACCCAACGAGCTCTGCTGGAGCTGACGTCCGTTCAGGCCTTTAAATGTCTCTGTCCCTGCGCAGGAGGAAACAGACTTTGTAGCAGTCACAGTCACTTTGCCCGAAGGGAGACGCGTCTCTGCTTTTGCAGGCTGCAGTTCGGACTCCCCTGGCTCTTCTCAGCGCTGCGTTTGCCTCTATCTTTGCCTGGAGATCGCCGCAGCCTCTCCAGCTGGAGGCGCTTTTGGTATTCGCACCCCGGGCGTGAACCAACAGGACTTCCCTTGCCCTGTGCTGTTTCAGTGGGTTCGAAGATCTGAGATTGAGAGGTGCGCTCGGTGATCTCTCAAGGAGCAGGGAGCTTGCTCCCCGTGATATTAGTAGGGGGTGATTTTTTTTTTCGAGCTGGTGAAAGCGTCCTCCTCCCCGCTCCTAAAGCTACAACTTGTTTTGGTTTCTTCTCAGTCCTGTGTATGGTTACAACAGCAAAGTTTTTCTCCCTTACCCATCCAAAAATCTATCCTTTTAATCCACCCTCCTCCCCCTGCGCCGTCTCCGCCAAGCCTTCTCTCTGTGCGGTGAGTGGATAGCGGGGCGCGCAGTGTGGCAGCGGCCGCGAAGATTGGCGCTATCAGGAGGAGCGAAAGGGAAGGATCTGCTGCTGGGGGCTCCCTGGGTGATCCTTTGCCAGGCGAAAGAGCTGGGTAAGGGCGCAGAAGAGGAGTCGGAACCTTCTGGGACCCTGGTGCTTGACACTGGATTTTGATCACCATCGTTGTTCTGTGTCTCTGTCCCTTTTTTCTCAAGTGGTAACTAGTCGAGAGAGAAGCGCTTGGCAGGAGCTCTCTGCGGGACTTGAGCTCCCTGGCTGCTCGGGATCCCTACGTCCGCGGCTGCGGAAGGACCAGACGGGAGGACGCCAGCAGTTGCTTACTGGAGCCTGGAGGTAGGCAAGGGGGTGGGATCCTGATTCTCAGCCCAGATTCCACAAGGGTGTCTGGTTTCATGGAGACATCCTTCTCACCCTCATTTGTCATCGCACACCCCACCCCCGCTTTTTCGGATTCAGGTTCAGGAATAACCAAATCCTTGCCAACCTCACAAGGTGGAAGTCCCTTTCACAGCTCATCGCCTGGATACCTTGCTCCTTACATGTATATGTTTGTGTTGGGGAAATGTGAGCTTCCCGGGGAAGTTGATACCTTGCAGATTTTGAGAATGTCCAACTTGATTTTATTCAGTTTCTTAAAGGATGTGTTTCCTGTAGGCAAGAATTATGGGAAATAAATGTCAGTGTCATACACAACTGCAGTAACAGCTCAGAAATCACCTTCATTTCCCCCCAAAAGTTTTCACCATGCAAGTTTTCTGAATGTCCACATGTAGTGAATGGAGACTTGGCTTGTTCCATTATATGTAAATGGGGCGAGGTGGAGGGGGGGTCACATCCTTTTCTTTTAAAATTTGGAATATAAAAGACATTAGAATTTCTCTCTTCTATGTCTCTCATCACTATCTCTATCTCTGTTTCCGTCTCTTACCTTCCTACCATCCTGATTTCTTTCCTTCTCTTCCTTCTCCCCTTCCCTCCCACCTACCTACCTTCCCTCTTTCTTTCCTTTCTTCCTCCCTCCCTTCCTTCCTTCCTTTCTTCATTTCTTCTCTCTCTCTTTTTCTTTCTTTCCCTGTGCTGCTCATTAATAAATATAATGTGAATTTAGAGAGAATGGAACAGTTTTGCAATTTACAGGGATGATAAAAGACGTCTTTCCTACCTTGTCTGAAGTTTTTATTTAAGTATCTAATTCTTTTTAGTTGTGAGTTAATTTGGAGTAAGACTGAACTAATATCTTGGGTGAAATTCAGCATGGTAAGATTTTGGGTATTGTGCGTTTAATTGATCCCTGCTCTTACACATTAGCTAATAACTGGAGTTGCATGAATTGTTAGAAAAGGCCCTTGATTTTTGGCAAACAGTATTTTGTGGGAAATGTTAAAAATCAGTACTACAATGTAGGTGGCAATAATATAGATTCACAGGTGAAATGAGGGAGGCAAATTCACCTTAAGAGAGTGGTTTAGTGAAAAATCAGTGCCTGGAATTTCATGTCTACATATGGTAATCAGCCAACTAAATGAACCAGTTAGTATTTGGATCTTGCAATATTTGGTTCCATAGAGAGACTACTGTACATTTTATTTCTGATCTCATTTGTGGGAATAAAATAATATTAGATGGTTTTATCTACTTTTTCACACATGTGTGCTGTAGATTTCATGATACCCTATAAAGCAGTGAGAGGCAAGGTCCAAGATCTGGCCTCAATAACATTACCATCTCTCCTCTACAAGGATCCCTTTACATTAAACTGCAACTAGTGGTATCTGGAACTTGAACTGCTGCTGCTGTTTTTTGCTTGCTTATTTTATTTATTTTTTATTCTCTCTCTCTTACTTTTATACACTTGTGGCTTCCAGTCTGAACCTAAATCTCCCTCTGTGCAATGGCTTTGTCACTCGTATTCTTCCTCACAGGGCAGCTCACAGTTGGGTTGCCCTGAATTAAAATAAATTAATCCCCTGATGGTATAGTTTATACAGTTACTGGATATATATTGAGTGTGCCCAGGGTTCCTGCTGAGCCAGGTGTGTTGGAGGACCTGGAGAGTATAGGGAGAACAGAGTACCACCCAAGTGGTGAGAGTGGGACTAAATTAGGAAGATGGAATGTACTTAAGGAGAATTAGCACATTGTAGAAAAGGAGGAAATAAAGCAAAAATCTGCGGGGGGTGTGTGGGAGAGAGTGTGCCTGTGTGTGTGTGTGTGTGTGTATATGTGTGTGTGTTTAGAAGCTGGATTATCTTCTGCAGGAATCAACCTTATCTTAAATCTGCATGAGCAAGTTTATCTCAAAGGGCAGATTCTTTGCTTGGTAAATGCTATGAAAAGACTTGAGAATCCCAAGGGGGGAAAACAGATCTAATTTTAACTGTTGATTTTCAAATAAACTGTTTAGTTCCAGGCTCTAGAACAGTTTTTCTCAAATATCAGTGCCTGAAGATGCTAAACAATTGAGATTTATAACTCCTAACACAGAAGATACTGGTTCAAGAGGATCCAAAATTAATTGCGTATCTAACACCATGAGTTATTCCAATTCTCCTAGTTCAAGAAGTATTCCATGAAATTTGCAGGCTTAGTGTTAATGAACTACATTTGTGAGGGAGGGTGTCATACTTGCTTGTTAATCTAAAAACTTTCCCTAGTATTTATCTTCTTGAAATTTTCTTGTTTTCTTCCATCAATGCCATGTCTGGTGTAATAGAAGATGGATATTCTCAAATATGAAAATTTTATTATTTGTATATTTGCAGCCTTGGATGGTGACCCTTTGAGATTTAAACCAGAAACCACTAATATTGAGGTTATGGAAATGCTTCAGCATTATTAAAATCTTAAGTTAAAAAAATCAGTATACTAATAGGTTTGGTTAGATGATAGCTTTAACTAAACATTACAATTATCATTTTCTCACTGGAGAGAGAAAAACTATTTTTTATTTATTCTTGCCTTTAATTTCATGTATTTATCTTTTTCCCTACTAATGCAGAGCAGTTCAGGTCACTTTCATGAAATTATACAAAAAGAAAGTAAATTTAACAGTGCCTACAATGATGTTTTGTAGTAAATTTCTTCATTTCCATTAATAAAACTTCACAAAGGTAACATACAAGTGAAAGAAATGATTGATGACATTCTGAACCCAATGGTGAGTTTGGTCATGTTATTGAGTCTATTTTTGAAAATAATATCTCCATGAAATTCTTGATTTTTTCCCACTCTTCCCAGCCTAAAATTGTTGTCATTCATTACTATGATCTTCAATCTGTGTGATTCTCTTTGAAACGATGATGTCAGAGTTCTTATTTTCTCCTTTTATACTGTTTTCATATATAATGCTACTTTTACCAGACATGTTTTTGTGATCGTGAGCATTAGTTTTCTATTAATTAAAAAGTTTGCACAGTAACAGAGCAGCCTCATGTATCAATAGACAAAAAGGTTATTATATTTGCTTATTTTCTTTAAAAAATCACTTTAGTCATCTGACATTTTCCAGTTGTCTTATACTATACCAAAGTGTTGGCTGGCTTCTATTTTAAACTAGCCACATGTTGAAATTAAGAAAAAAAGCAGCTTACATGCTTTAATGAAATGTCTTCTCTGATAATACATGGTACGAATAATGTGAATTATAAGCTTATTCTTGATATTTATTTTTGTTTTTATTGAAACTCTAATAATCTCTATATATTTGGTTGGTGTTACACAAAACCTGGGAAGAAAATCATGAAACTAGTTTAAGTCTTGGAAAATAAACTTAACCTAAGAGAAGTTTGGTTTTGCTTCATGTTAACTCCAAATCACAGGTGTTACCATTAATATATTGAGATTGACACATCGTACCAGAGCATCCGAAATTCCTACCAAAGTCCAAGGGCTTCTCTGTAAAATAGTTATACCACTGATAGAAAACACAATTTCTATGTAAAAAATATAAAGAATTTTGTTTTGCTGTTCTAGAATTTCTTTTTCCTTCCACATTGCCCCTTTCCCCATGGGGTGAGAGAGAGAGTAGTCCACAGGATGGCACTATTTTTATGCATAGTATTTTAAATAATTTTACCCTTGAGCCATCTTTAGCTACATTAATACCATTGGAAACATTGACTTTTCTCCACTGATAAATTTTCTGACACTTTTTTTTTTCCCAAACCAATGGATATTTATTAAGTGTTAGTGCCCATTATTGCCAAAGACTGCCTTTTCAAAATAATCCTCCTAGAGGATCTAGTAGCCACCACTCCTATCTTTTCTCCTCTCTCCTCATCCTCTGTGCTCTGATGAAAATCATATTATATCTATAGAATATATATATCATCTCTTAAAGTAATTTCATATAAATCAGAAATATGTATTTTTCATTATAGTGTTATATATATTCTCATCCCTGTCCTATGTTCATAGAATGAGAATGGTTCTTTCACATACTACATTTGCATTTGCATTAAATTCATCCATGCTACCTAAAAAAAAATCCATTCACACTAATAGTAGTTTAATGGATTCCTTAAAAGGATTGATTTGTGTTTTAAAAGAGGATCACTAGAAGAAGACAAATCTTAACTCGTCTCCCCTGAAGGTTTTCAAGTCCTTAGATTAAAAAAAAAAAAAAAAAGAAAAAACCCAAAAAACTAAAAATCAACAACCAAGAGCCACTACAACCTATTCTCACAAACCAAAGCCACTTGTATGTTAAGTCCTACAACTTGGTTAAGGTCTGTTTGATATCTCATGTCTGGGAGTGCCAGAGTCTATTCAAAGTCTTGTGGTACAAACAGAAAACAAGAACTTGTGTAGAAACTCACGTTTAAACAATGAGAATAGGACATTAACATTAAAAAAATATAGAGAGCAGGAGGAGGAATCGAGGAACTAGAGATACTTCAGAAAGGTCAAACACATGTTTGAGAACATGTTTGAAAATATGGAGAACAGGAGGTGGAATCCAGGGGCTTGAGATACTTCAGAAAGGACAAACACACATTAGATCCTCTGTTTTGTTATGCCATTTCTTGATCCAGTTTTGTTGATCCAGTTTTATGAGTAGGATCAGACTAGAACACAGATCTGTGGTACAGAGAGCAAATCAAAGAGGCAGAGACATCATGATACCTCAGTCCAGCCCATATATTCTTTAGGAGTGGGAGTGGAGAGACATTTGCTTGCAGGTTTCTGGAGGTTTTTGCCAGTGTGAGAAATTGTTTTATGCTCTGCCAACTAAAAGTTTGATTCCTGGTAAAAAGTGATTACTTTTTCTTTAATTCTTAAAACTATTTCATGATTGTCTTCTAAGAATTGAACTTCTTTGGTTACTTTATAGT